GACCCGACCATCGGAGGTGTGTGTGCGTGTGTATGTGCGTGTGGTGACGACAACTTAGGAAGTCACCGACCCCTACATCACCTTGGACTCTGGAGGTGTTCGGAGACCTGCGGTCGTTAGGTAGCCCAGTTGTGCCCTGCTCCCGACCGTCGCTGATAAGCTCTGCTGGCCTTTCTATCACGGCTCCTGCACGAGGCCAGCTGTCGCAGACGCTGTGCACGACTCGACCGATGCCAGGACGCTTCGCAGTCAGTGGATTTGGCGACCATGATTCCAGCAGAAGGGCCGGCTGTTGCAACGAGGTCCATCGAACCTCCACCGAGGCGTCGTTCGTCGGACTCGCAAGCCTGTCGTCAACATCAACGAGACAATGGTGAGCCCGTTCCTCGCATGAGGGCCTCAACCAGAACTCTCGCCTTGCACTCTCGCATCCACCCAGTCACCCAAGCCAAACATTACAAGACGCTTCCCCTCCGAGCCGTGGACGCTCTCTTGTGTGAGCACCATGAACTCCCGTTACTCCTCTTCCGCGGCACCACTGTATTTCTCGTATTGTTGTGTTCTAATTTTTTTTCTTCAGCAGCAGTTGCAGAGCGAGGTTGAGGCTAGCTGTAGGCCATCGCATGAAGTCTTTGCATGCGTGGGCGACGACCGGCTGCCTTTGCAGACCGGTATATAGGGTGAATTAAGGAGAGGAGGATGTGGGGATCTGAGGCGCGCCCGCGACCATTTCGCGGGCATTCCGCCGCACGGCCACACCCTTTTGCTTTTTCTGCTCTGGTAACGGCCCGTGGCGAAAAATGGCGCCACGTGCGGGCGCGGCACTGGTTACGTGCACGCCGAGGGAGCTCTCTCTCCTCCGTGGTCGGCACCGAGTAAGCACGTGTTTTCTTTCGTCCGCGTCCCCTTTGGGAATTGCCGGACTGTAGCCTACCTAGGTTGGCCTGTGGCACCTCGACAGGCGTGTTTACTTGAGTACTAGCTTCGGTAGCGTACGCTAAGCCCACAGCGGTGCATAGTGCTTGAAGTGGTCGTACCACACCGAGCCGCACTTGCCGTAGGTCTACGCGTACAAGGTTTGCCCTAACACTCGCGACCAGGCCCAGTGGCCATCGTAAAAGTGCGCAGCATAGCCGCGAGGGACCTTTTCCCGACCGGCGTGTCAAAGCTCGCCATTGCCAGGTGCGACGTGCTCGCGGTTTCCCATTATTGTGAACGTCCGCAGTGCGGGTGCCTTCGCTCCCCGCGTCCCTGGAGCGGACGTTGTACTGTTGTTCGGCGTGCCGCCAAAGCCAATTAAGTGTCGTGTGTTCTGTATTGGAACACTGGCTGTTTGCCGCGCCGCGCTAAACGTTTGATCAGTTGAGCGCGCGCGGAGCGGTGTGCTACACGCGAGTAAGTGACGGAGTCGTGTCCCTGTGGCTCGCTAAGTGTGAACCCGCGGTGATCATCCACTACGGTGAGTAGCGGGGTCACCATACATTATGGCTCTTTGCATGTCATCAACTTCAGTGTTGTCACGGATGGCCATCCCATACTAATTCGTTATTAAGCGCGAGCTTTTAGGGGCGAAGCTCCTTAAGGCGTGGGCTGTGCGTCCCCTGTATGTAGCCACCTCTCGTTTAGTTCTTGCAGTGTCCACTAGATGGCGGTACCGTCTCCTGTATGTCGCCTCCTCTCGTTTAGTTCTTGCAGTGTTCACTAGATGGCGGCACCGTCTCCTGCATGTAGCCATCTCTCGTTTAGTTCTTTCAGTGCTAACTAGATGGCGGGACCTGTAGCTGATGATGAAAAGACGCAAGATGTTATAAACTAGACGGTGGTACTTGTAGTTGATGATGAAAGATGCGAGATGTTATAAAATAGGAATGATGTCACATATGGCACGTGTCATTGGTGGAAGGCAATCGTTCGATTTAGTGCGGCGACGTACGCTAGGGGGAGCATTGTAATAAAATCGAGTAGGCAAAATGTACGGAAGATTCATGGTTTACCAGGTTTTCCTCCAGAGCTTCGCCCACTCATCATCATTCACTTCGTGGGTATGGCGGCTCTTTTTTTTTTCTTTGTTTTCTTTTGCATTGGGCACGGGCTTTTTTTTTCCTTGTTTTCTTTTGCATTAAGCGCGGGCTTTTTTTTTCATTGTTTTCTTTTGCATTAAGCGCGTGCTTTTTTTTTCTTTTTCTTTTGCATTCGGCCCGGCAGACGCGTTTTTTTGCTTTCGCCCCGACTGACCTGTTTTTTTTTCTTTTCGCTCGCCCCGGCTGACGCGGTTTTTCCGTTCCCGCTCCGCCCCGGCTGACGCGGTTCGGACTTTGCATTCTAGTCTTTTAATCAGTTCTTGAGTGAGGCTGCCCTTTCCTCCAATGGGTTGATTCTTCTTCTTGCTACAAGTGTTCACACAGCTGAACCCATCCCATTTTTTACATGATTTATGCAATCTTCTTTTGCCAATGAAATGAAGCCGTATGTTTTTTCTTCAGAAAGAGAGAAGAAAGTACGACTGTCACTATCATAAACAATGGATGTGTATTGGAGGTTGTTCTCCAGCGAGTTTCTGAACAAAATTAGTTCAGCCTCGACCTCCATTCGGCCTGAATTTACATTGGTGTTTTTTTGACAAACATGGGCCTCTTTCCAATCCTTATAGCCTTCATCATTTTCTTTTGGCCCAAGTGTGCACCCATGGCATCTTTTGGAGAGAACGTCACAGTCAAGCACCAAACCAGTATAGAACTCAATAACTGTGCCTACACCGATGTGAGATGCATGACCACCTGTCATCCATGTCCCATCATACACTACTGTGACATTTTTTCTAAATGTCTGCTCCATTTGGCTGTCAACCGAGCACACAGGTGTCACAGAATCTGCAAAAACACTCGCTGCAGCCATTTCACTGGCAGATTTGAACTTTGATTTCAAATGTTTTTGAACAGTTTTGTGATGTAGGCCCCTATCTGACACGTTCATTATAGACCAGAAGTCATTTAGATCAGTTGCACCTTTGCCAGTGGTCTTGATGGCTGGCATAGCGCGCATATTTACATCAAAAGCCTTGCCCCTCTCTCTTCTTGATGATGACCACTCGGTGGACAGGTGGACACAATGCCACAGCTATTGCAGTCCAATATCATTCGTACTGCCAAACCATGCTTTGTCCCCAAATGAAGACTGAGTTTACACTGAAAGCATTTTGGGCACAAAACATCTTTATATAAGGCATTCATTGCTGCTAGCTGTGCAAGGAAAAAGTGTTCTGCCAGTTCCACATCAGTGCATTGCTCATTCTCCCGAAAGCTTCATTTTTCGCTCAGTTGCCGAAACGAATTTGAGCGAGGCTTTCACTGCCTTTGCGTGCTCACGAGAGGCTTGTGGCGATATATAATGAGGCTCCAACCGAGCTTGAATTGTATTGGCAGTTACTGATGGCATGTCATCTATGCGCGATGAGCGGAAGAGTCGTCGACCGACGATCGCGGCCACGGGTCGGTGAAGTCGTCGACCGGCGATCGCGGCAGAGAAGTCGTCGACCGACAGTCGCGGCAATGGGTCTGAGAAGTCGTCGACCGACGATTGCGGAAGCAGGTCTGAGAAGTCGTCGACCGACGATTGCGGAAGCGGGTCCGAGAAGTCGATCGACGACCGCTGCAGCGGGTCCGAGAAGTTGTCGAACGACGACCGCTGCAGCGGGTCCGAGAAGTCGTCGGCTGACAATCGTGGCGGCAACGGGTCCGAGAAGTCGTCGACCGACGACTGCGGAAGCGGGTCTGAGAAGTCGTCGAGCGACGACTGCGGAAGCGGTTCGAGAAGTCGTCGGACGACGACCGCTGCAGCGGGTCCGAGAAGTCGCTGACCGAGGAGAACGGAACAAACGGCAGCGTGTCAGCAACACGTTGAGCAACAGAGGCAGCACTGGAAGCTGTTGATGTTTTCTTTTACAGGTTCGGAGATTCGCGCATACGACTTCCAAATTGATGTAATGTTCTGTATTTACTCTTACAGTGTGGCCGATCCATGATCGCTGACAAAAATCTACGACGAAATCATGCCGCCCACGATTTGCTCAGCGCTTCAATGGCGTGCTTGATGGCTCAAAAAGTAGACAGCAAGAGGCGCGCGCACATGTGAGAGGAGAATTTGCATCATTGCCAAAGGCAACTGTTCAGAAGACCAATGGCGCTCCAGCATTTGTGTCACGTGGTGCGTGCAGCCAGTCAGGCTTCAGTGTGGGACCTTTGGGACTTTGCTTTTTATGCGTTTCATTTTGCATACAGACGATGGCTGACACGGGAAACTTGAAGCTGGAGGAACGCTCTCTCAGACGAGACAAATATGGCGGCTCTCAGTTGTGCCGTAGCCATGTTACCGTGGCTTGAAAAACACGCTTTTTTCACAACTTCCGCGATATTATACGCCGCATTAGGTGACAAAACAATTTTTTTTAAGCACTTCTACGCGGTTTTTGAGAATGATATTTTGGAATTTGAGAGATAACAGGTTACGAAAATTGAAAATCTGATATTCAAAAATTCGCTTTTTGACCATTTTCGCAATTCGAAAGCCGCGTCCACCCTTGAAAACTGCGTCCCCTCTGAACAATATATTTTTGTCAATAGGACACAGCAACACACATGCACTTGGACATGTAACTGTAGAGTCAACAGGGGCAAAACATGTTTGCATGTTAATCTGGCATACTAGCGTGTCTCAATGAAAGAACTCAGCAGTGCTGGCTTGCATAGCAGATAGCACAAACTTAGCAGCTGCAACATGGTGCACAAAGAGGAAGAAGATGGTTGGTGCAAAAAGCCATAGGTTAATGTGGGGGGTTGCTCAACTCTTTCAAATGTGACCCATAGTCAAAGATTTGGTTGCTTCTTTCATGGATTTGAGGGTGACTAACATGTAGTTTCCCTTCCATTTGTTAAAATTGGATGCGATCTGGCGTGCATCAAAATTGGGTAAATACGGTGGCAACTCAAGCACAGGATACTGACCGCAGCAATGGAGGGCTTCTTGTTGTCGCCTGCTGGCGGGTGAGTGACGTCGGCACCGAGGAAAATGACTGGCTCGTTGAACACCTTGGGTCGGATGCTGGGCACTAAGATGGAGTTGATGCCACCCAGCTTGACATTAATCTTGAGGCACAGGTTGGACAAAGTCTGCGGGGACGTCTTGTTGACATTCTTGGCTTGGACGCACTGTGTGGCCATGCCCAGCACAGTGTCCCCAACTCGTTTGACTTCGGCGTAGACGGGCGTCTTGCCGGGAAGCACGACGACGACGAGCTGCAGCCCCTGGAAGGTGGACTTGAGGTATCGAAACATGGGCTCCACCTGGTCGGGTCCTGTGGCATACTTGCAGAAGCAGGGTTGGCCAATTATGGGCATGCCTGCGTCGTTGCTAATCTTTTGCAGCTGCTGAGTGAAGTTGCGCAGGGCGTCCTCGCGGCAGGTGCGCTGTGGTGCAAAGCAGGCGATGGCCCAGATGCGGATCTCGACACCCGTGTGGAACTGCTTGCCCCGCATGTCCCACACCCCCTGGTTGGGGATCGCCTGCTGCTTGGTCCGGCCGCCATACTGCAGCTTTGGCGGAGGCAGGATGCGGCCCCTCACCTCCATCATAGTGTTGCTGATGGACAGACCAAACTCCTGCACGTACGGGTCCGTGTTGAAGTCCGCTTTGCGCACCAGGTTGTTGATTTCGCGCTCCCGGTCTGGAGCAGACCGTGCAGTTGCCTGCACCAGAATTGAATGGCACACTGTAAAGCTTCTCTTTGGGCATCAGCCTCTTATTTTTAAAACATGCATGGCTCCTATTATGCTTCTCACCTTAATCATGGTGGATGTCTGCATGTCAGTGAGCTTCTTGATGCACCTCTGACCAGCCACGATGTTGCAGACCTCAAGGGGAAGATAGGTATGTTTGTGCTCCTGGCCCACTTGGAGGCAGGGAAGGTGCGGGTACCTGCACACACATGCTTACTGCCTTCAACTGACACAGCCCTGTGGAGAAATGCTGCACTTGTTCTAAGGCTGTCAATGATTATAAGATGAAGTGGTTGCTCAAGGGCCCAAGAAAAAGTTTGTACACCGATACAAGGTGCAGTCAGAAAATTTGTGAATTCCCATTTTTGAAAGCTGCCAAAAGCAAATGTGGAAGCAGATCATAACTACCATCATCTGGTGCATTGATGCTGTCCTTAGTCCCTGATGCCCTCCCAAAGTTGTTGGTTCTCAGTGTGTGATTAGTAAAGGAGAGGCATGAGTCGCATACTGAACCTTGAAGAAGGACGACGGTGCACGAGGAAAGGAGAGTCACATAAGTGCACGCGCACTAGCCATGTAGACGCAAGAGATTGGTCGTAGAAAGACTAGTGGCAAGCGACACAAGCCAAAAAAAAAATATTCCAGAGGATGGGAAGGCACTGTGTGTTGGGACGCCAAGCTGCGAAGACATGGGAAACAAGCACCGCTATAGCGACGGGAACAGCATGACCGCCCGGTTCTGAGGATGTCGGCACGAAGAGCTCGCTCGGGAAGTGGTCGTCAACCTCTGAGATGGTCCCGAGTGAGGGTGCCCAGACTTGCCACATCCTGCACAGCAGTTCCTGGTGAACTTGCAGCTTCCCCACATCTCAATAGGAAGGGAGCAGCCCACACAAGTCAGCTGAGTGGTCGCGTCAGGGGGGGAGTCCTTGACGAGCGGGGCCTTAGCGAGGCCAAAAATTAAGACAAGTACCCAGACACCGGCAAATGCAGACGAGTAGATCGTCAAGCAGACGTGTGCAGACGACAATGACGGCGAGGAGGTACTACTTCGTTATAGCTTTGAGGGTGGCATCAGAACAGTAAAAATGTTCTACTATTGCGAGAGCGCACAGGAGTAACCACCGAGATGCCATTTTGGCTAAGGACAGTTTAAGGCTAAAGACTGAACTTGACTTGGATCAGTGTTAGTTACGGTATTGCTGTATAGCCAATTATTGGGTGCATGTATGTTTGTTTTTGGGAGTGAATTCTGAGTGTCAGATTTTTTGCCATTTTGTGTAGTATTAAAAAGAGTGTCGTGTTACCGCCGACTCGCATCACCCTTAATCACACCCTTGACCACAATATAATTTCGTGACACAGTGCCATCCAAGAAGTTCGTGAAAGAAGCTGCCCCACCCACTGGATTGGGTATGACTTCACAGGCATCAGCTGTACCCCGATCCACCCCAGAGTGCGATACACGCTTCAAACACCCAAGAGTGTCAAGGCCGTATCGTTGAAAGCCATCTACTTGTAGAGCAGATTCTCATGGATGATATGCCACATACATCATTTACCCGGTTTTAAAAATGATAGTCTGCGAGACTTTCATTATTATAGAATATTTGTAGAAACACGCTGCAATACTTAGCACAGTTCAAAGCGTGCCTGAATTGCATCCCAATCGAGTGCTTATTTCACCGCCAAGTGCTTGTCTGCAGGGTGAGGAAAGTCTGCGCCCAATATGCGGTGTAGCAGCATTCGGTGGAAATGCACAATGTGCCTAGCCGCAGCAATGGAACATCAACATCATGATGCTCAGCCTGACATTCTGAGGTGTTGGCAAATAAAATGGCAACAGTGCCCTATGCAATTGCTGCACCCGCACTAATGCATACAAAAAGGATTCGCAGTTTGAAGAGACCGCGGGATATGTGACGTGACGTCGTGCCTGCTTCACACTAGACTGTGCACATAAGCGGCGATTGGCCTGTTTCTTCAACACAGCAAATACAAGCATTTTGCAAGCAACGTGCACTTGTCCACAAAGCTTCATGGTCCTGCACGACTATGCGTGGCACGCTTGTGATGTTGCCTAATACCGTTAAACTTGCTTATAACCAACCTCCATAGAGCAAGTTCCTCTAAATAACGAAGTTTTTTCTATTCCCCGCCGTTGCTCCAAAGAAGCACATGTACTTGCGACCTCTATATAACAAAGTAACAGCAGGAGACAACCTTGATGTAACGAATTTTCCCCACTGACAGTCTAAAAATTTTGCCCCGCATTGTGACAATTTGGTACGAGCATGCATTTTCCTTGGCTGCCCAGCCACGGATGAAAAGCGAAGCGGCAGCAGCGCGCCCGGCGCATTAGGCGAGAGCGAGCGCTTGTTATTGCACACGGGTGAGCGCAAGGTGGGCAAGCGGGTCTGCGCCCCATAAGTTGGCGTTGCGGCTGTTCTCACCGCCGCGGGCGCATGCGCAGGTGTCACATATGTGGGGACACGCTGCATATGGAGGGCACTTTATCAAATTTTCTGCGGTATCCATGTCTGTGTCAGTGTTGCTCGCTCTTCGTTTTCAGGCCTTGTGCTCGCGTGCATAGTTTCAGTGCGCGAGCGTGGTGTGGGCCCCGATGATGTACAGCTTTGTTTTGTATTCTTTCTTTATTTCGATAGCAATTATATGGACAGTCGCTGCTGGTTTTTTGCCGTCGCCGCTGACGCCATCATTCATTGTATATGTATACATATCCATATTTATATGAAAACCCAAGAAAGAAAAAAGAAAGCCGCCTGCACTCGTCACCCAACTCGTCCGATGTGCCGATGCGCGCTTACCTACCAGGAATGGGAAGGGGGGGGGGGGGTAGATGCTTGTGGTTGCGCTCATCCTTGAAAGAATGGCACGCCTTCGAATTTGACCGAAACGATTGTGTTTAGTTGCCGGGCGTACAAAGATTACTTCGCTTGCTGGACAAGCGCCATTTGCGGAAAGAGTGCGATTTTTAAATACAGCGAAATAACAATTGGGACACTTGTTAGTTCACACTCATATATGTACCTGTGAGTACGTTTTGTGCGTCGTTTTTTGTTTAAATAGCACGTTAGGTGTCAAGCGGTAAACTTTGTTAGTTCGCTCTCGTCCTGTGTATGTTTTCGTGCATCATTTGTGTGTAAGCAGCGAGCGCCCTGCACGTTGCGATCTGCTTGCCGCTCTCAACGTTACATTCCAAGTTATTGCTATGGCATTCATTGCTTCGCCCTTGCGGCGAAACTGTTTGGACAGTTTTGGACAACCCTGTTGTCACCACTGTGAGGATGTCAAATTAGGCGCTGATGGAAACTCTCCGAGACAACGGTGACGACGGATCTTCAAAGGTCGACTCGACGCATGCTTTCGTCTTGCGCCGTGCCGCGAGTTCACAAAACGGCTGTGAGCAAATATGACAGCTCCAAAGAGAATCGCTTTTTTCACACAGTCTTTTCACGTTGAAACCACACCGATACTTGCCGGGATAGCAAGCACGCCAGCAATAGTGACCGCCCTTAAAGGGCCCGTAAATCACCCAAAGGTCAAAGGTCAGGTGTGAGGAAATTGTGCACAAGTGTACAACGAACACAGAGCCGTCAGAAGTTTTCGAAACGGTGCAGTAATAGAAGAGTTAGACGCGTTTCATCACCGAAACAATGACAACCACACCTTTCACTCTCTCCTGCACTTCTCTCCGCTAGTATCTTTTCCCACGCCGCTTTGCCCTTCTCGTCGAGTGACCCTTTCAATCTCATGTGGCATACGTGATCGCTGATCCACTGCTTGGAACACCGTCTACTTACGGTTGCCGCGACTCTAACCCTCGACTCCGTCAGTTGCGCGCTTGTTGGCGAATCGCTGTTGTAGTAATTGTGCCGGTATGGAACCTGCGTTGCGCACATGCCTTCAAAGGATTGCCAACGCGATGGACCTATACCATGCCCTGCACGTATTACACGCACGCAGGCAACACGACGAACAACAGCAAGCAGTGCGGACAAATGCCCGCAGACTGACCGGAAGTCGAAGGCTCTTGCTCGACAACATATTTGGCATGTTGGGCTTGGTGCGCCAGAGATATGGCGCGGCGCATCACGTGAAAGAGGAATTGTTTCTTGGAGTTCATGGTGTGCCGGCGGCTCGTAGCACTGCCACGCACAGAATCGTTCACTGCGACAGCATTCTGCACACTATGCGCACAATTATTTGAAATGCTTGAAAATATATTGGGGGTGGTTCCCAAGCACTTTAATATACAAGTTCATTATTGCTACTAGAGCGACCCCCCCCCCCCCCTCCTGATATTGTTTCATGCTCGTTCAAGACGGGCGATTTACTTTCTGCTTGAGCATTCGATGGCAGTTCTAACACGCGGGAGACATTATCTGATGCACTTTCCAGGCGATAGGGATGGGCAGACTCATTTAATCTCTGCTTCAGCAGCGCTCCCGTGCTTTCACCCACTTCTCAAAGTTACCATGTTTTCCACCACTTCTCAAAGTTACCAGTTTCACCCACTTCTCAAAGTTTCTGGTGCAGTCGTCTCTCCTTGTAGAACTCTTTCCACTTACCCGACCGAATGGCGATCTACGAAAGGCTGTTTACAGTCAAAACAGCTTAAAAAGAATGGTTATGTCTGCACGTCTATGTTCGTCGCAGTGGCGTGGACAATAAGCCAAGGGACTGAGAACCCTCTGCGGATGCATATCCCACGTTCTCCCTGGTGCCTAATACCGCTGTTTCCACAATTTGTGGTCTGCCTGGCGCCGCAGACCCATCACTGCAACAGACTACGAAATTGACTTCCACGTAAGACTCATTGATTGATTGATTGATTTGTGGGGTTTAACGTCCCAAAACCACCATATGATTATGAGAGACGCCGTAGTGGAGGGCTCCGGAAATTTTGACCACCTGGGGTTCTTTAACGTGCACCCAAATCCGAGTACACGGGCCTACAACATTTCCGCCTCCATCGGAAATGCAGCCGCCGCAGCCGGGATTTGAACCCGCGACCTGCGGGTCAGCAGCCGAGTACCTTAGCCACTAGACCACCGTGGCGGGGCCACGTAAGACTCAACATCTTCGTGCTGTGCTGTGCGCGGTGTGCAGTGTTTTCTCCCTCACCATGGGGCGAACTGGACATGTTTCTTTCTCCTTTCGTAGATTGGGAAGGAG